TCTATCTATCTATCTATCTATCTATCCATCTATCCATTGGATTCACACGAGGCAATACTGAAATCCATTTCAATCCATGATGCTTTTCTCCATTTAATAACAGCACTTTGCCCTAGATATAATTACAGCACCTACTGCTCCTTTCTATCCATTAACAGGGAAGCCCTAAAACATTCCACCTAATTATCTACAACTAATTGTGCTAAAGCTGCATTTGTGGCGGGGGTGGGGGGAACAGGCCGACAAGGAAGCGTGTTGAAACAAGGAATGAGAGCTGAAATTTCAGTCTCCTGTGGGAGGCATAATAGTGACCTTAGATGAATTAACCCTGATCTCTGCCCCTGTGTTTCATTTTTATGCACTCGTCTTCTGCTAAGAGCAGGTCAGCTCTTATACCTGAGGTAATTTCTTTTGTCCCCTCTCAGAAATCGATATCCTGAGGTTTTGGGCAGCAGTTGAAATCATATGCATTGTGGAAATAGTTAGATGAAAACAGATTAAACAATTTAGTGTTTTTTTACATAAATGTCAAATCTATTAATTGTTCTAAATCTTGCAGCCTGTGAAAAACATGAAAACATCACAAAATGTCATATGACACATAATAATTTACTTGTATTTCAAATTAAATGCTGCTAATTCGGAGATGTAAGAGGGGAGTATATGGGTCTAAAAGCTGTAAGAGTCTGTGACTATAGGGCTGATATTTTATTTATGGTGGGTGTTCTGTACACTTGCTTTCCGCTGAAGTATAGTCAAAGATGCTTTGCTTACAGACAGGAACTCTCTAGCAATACAACGAATCAGAATTAATTTTATATATGCAAAATTTAGTTTTACATGATCTCATGTGAAGCCACCACGGTTCATTTACCCTCCGTGTAAACTTACCGACTTTGCCCAGATTAAGGTAAGTTTATCATCTTTATTTCTTTTGTAAAACCATTGATTCTAGAAAACATTATAAGGAATCAGTCAAAATGTTAGTAATTAAACATATAAATTAAAATGTTCTGAGAAATGCCAGTTAGATGTTGATTATATAGAAACACTGTTTATCTGAGACACCATTTCCTGAAAAGCCAGTTGCATAAATGTTAAATGTTATCAAAAATGTTACATTATAGATGGGGAAATAAAAATAAAAATAAAAAAACACTGGCTGTTTTAACCATCGTACAGGATGTAGCCCTAAAAAAATCTAAATTTACGTAATCACCGAAGGATGTATTCTCAAATTTTCATAACAGCAAACAAAGCACTTTTGTCCCATGTGCTAGTACTTGAATAGTTAATGACATGCATGTGTAAAATGATAGCTTTGGTTTCGTTACCATAGGCAAGGAAATACGAGAATACAAGACACTTCCTGTACCCTGTTCTGTTTTTGTGCTTGAGAAAAGGAGCGGGGGTTATTTTGTAGTATCTTTCTGGGCAGCAAATCCATATAAACACATATGAAAACAAATGTAGCACACATGCTATTCTTAAAGAAAAACTGTGAAACCAGCTTGGTTCTGTGAACACGTAAAGTTGAACAATATGGTATATTTTCTGCTTCTCAGCCTACTGATAATATAAATGTTTAATTTTTTTTATTTTTTTTTTTACAATTTTCACTGGTCCTTATAAGATGATTTTAATATTTATTTATTTTGTGCTCACAGATATGGCATCTGAGTGCTGTCTCAGTCTCACCAAATACTTCCTCTTTCTCTTCAACTTGATATTCTTTGTAAGTTGAAAATGAGTCATAAGACACAGTTAACCGATTTATAATATACCAAAAATATAAAATACATACATTACCATTTGGTACATTTAACAGCAATGAGATCATTTTCTTACAGTAATATAACTTTTTGGTCTCAGCGAGGCCAAACGTTTACATTTTATACAATGCACATGTCGGACTGCTGTTGGACTGTGATTTTTCAACAGAAACTGTCTCATTTAGCTCTTAGGATCACTCCTCTTATCTATGGGACTATGGATACTACTTTCAGAGAACAGAATATTCAGTAAGTGTTACATATATTTGAGTGCGGAAATCACAGTGCTATTTTGGTTCTTTGTCTATGAATTATTATATATTGTGAACTATTAAAGAATTTGCTCTATATCTTTTGCAGTGCCCTCTCCTCCCTACATTTCCATCTCTCTCTTTTCCTACCTGCTGATCGTCAGCGGCTCTGTGACCATGTCATTAGGCTTCTTAGGATGTCTGGGTTCTCTGAAGACTGTCAAATGCCTGCTGGCAACTGTGAGTTTTCAGAAAACCATGTGTGCCATTTCTGTGACTGATTTGAGATTTGTGCCATCAGAGATACACTTTAATCCTTATTTGTTAGGAGAACTCTTAAAATATTAAGAGCTTAGTAGTAGTCACCAACCTCTTGGGAATTGTGCATGTTCTTGGTACAAGTGTTTGTAATACATCAGTACGTTTGTCTGCTCCACTGAACTGTAACAGTATGTTAAAATAAGCTTTATTTATCTGCAGTATTTTATCCTGCTCACGGTTCTTCTCGCGGCTCAGATAGTGGGTGGGGTTCTTTTCTACACCCAGAAGACTGAGGTAACTCAAGCGTGAGGATCAGCAGTCCCACCCAGTTAGTGCTGGGCTTTTTAGAACGATCCAGCACATGACTTAATTAATCCTCTTTGGTGTCAAGATTTAAATTAGTTTGATTCTATTTTTGAGAGCTATGTGCCTATAAAGCTTCAGATGCAATCATGACCAAAACATCTTCAACTTGTTCCCCCCCCCGACTCTTAATCAGTTGGCTGGTTCACTAAAGGAGCATACTATTCAACTAATAAACT